CCTGCCCTAAATTTTGATGGCTGGTGCTACAGTGGCACAGAGCAGCCAAATGCAAGGAAAGTCCTGCTTAGAACCCTGGACTGGAGGCTGCTCTGTAGGGATGGCACCTATACAGTCTAGTCAGCTGGTAGGAACTGAGAGGGACTGAAGCATGCTTAATACAGACCGAATCGTAAGAGAATTTAACAGTCAAACTCTAACAAGTCTCTACTGAGCACATACAAACTGATATGGCTCATAACTTAGCCAACTTCCCACCTCCCCAACCCGCTAAAGTAACTTCCCTTGACTCTAGGATGACTTTCCCCTGCCAAATTTCAAGTCCCTGCTCCTAAGCATGGAGGCGCTAGAGCTTCTAAAAATAAATTCTTACAACCAATTCATTAATTTGAGGAAAACACACATCTCCCTCTAATCTCACTCTTGGAAACAGCTCAACAATTGTTGCTGAAACTTTCGAGAAATATTCAGCCAAATTCAGACACCCAGCATGTAAAATTTCAGCCCAAATTGTTAAAGTCTGGCAAAGTTATAAGCAACTGAATACAGGGTTTTATAATGGGAAATATCTGGCAACCTTAACTGCATCACCTATAATATCAGAGGAAAGTAACTGGTGTACTATTGGCAATTTAGGTCTACTAATGAATATAGAGAGGCATGAAATTAATGACTTGGATATACCTAAGATGACAAACTTATTTTTAAAAATTCATCTTCAACAAGAAGAATAAAGAAAAAATTACAGAATTGACTATGAGGAAAACCTCATTAAAACAGTTATTCATTAAAAACTAGGAAGAAGACTGCTTGGAAATATAAAGATAAAGACATCAGCCCCCACAAATATGTATCATAACTTATTAAGGGAGTTAGGAAATGAATTCTCTGTAGCGCAAGTAATTGTTTTTGACAAGTCATGGAAGACTGGTGAAAAGGAAATGTACCAATCTTCAAGAAAGGGAAGAAGAATGATGCTGGCAATCACTTCCCTGATACTCTTATTTCCCTATTAAAATAATTTGACAAATATTAAGAGGAAAAAAATTTAGAGAAGAATGTAAAAGCCATGAGCAGCAGGGCTTATAACTAGATTTTCCTGGACAGAGCTGAGTAAATTGTTTTTTAGACAAAACTGCACAATTAATGGAAGGAAGGAAACCAATAGCAACAGGTTTGGATTTTAATACAGCATTTTATTCAGTGTGTCACAAAATCTTACACTCAAAATTAATACAAACTGGCTTGGATGTGAATACTCATATGGATTGAAAATTGCAAAGGGCTATAACATAATTATAAAATAATATAATCTGCCAAGTACAGTATCGAGTTGAATCTATCTCCCCTTGTAAGTATTCTCACACTTGCTTCTTATCAAACTGTCTGTACTTGCTACTCTGAAAAGTATCGAGTTGAGGGGAGTTGTAAGCTCTTTGGAGCAGAGATCATCTTTTTGTTATTGGTGTGTTCAAAGCCTAGCACAATAGTGATTATTACAGTAGTCTCCATCTTCATGATTTAGAAAAGGGCAAAACCAATATGTTAATGAAATTTGTAAATAGACTCCAGATGTGAGTTGGAACATTGATGTCTGAGTGGTCAGCAATAACTAATATTTAATGATGCATTAACTCGAAGCCTGAGATTATCTGCATATCAAAATGGTTCGCTATTTCACTACTGATCATTTTAGTAAAAACAACTGCTACTTTGGTATTGTGGATTTGGTTTGTGATTGAGGAAAGGGCACTGTTACATGTTTTTCCCCCTGCTCTGACACCTGTCAAGTCCAGAGGCTTCTTCAAGGTTCACAAAAAGTTTCAATAATGCACGATTTTGCATAGTTCAAACCAGTACCAAAGTGCTCACTGGCAGAGAGTGCCTCATCTTAGAGGCATGTTATCAGTACCTTGGTACTCTTCAGCAGGGAATGCTCTTAAAATAAATTAACTGTCTGTTTGGCAGAGTTCTCAGTGAGATGAGGTGTAGCTGGACATCAGATGGGAATAACAGGTGTATAGGCCAAGAACCACATTCCAAGTGGTTCAGGCCTTGATATGCAGAAAGCAGTGGAGGGCCTGAATAGCCCACATCTGGGATAGGTTAGCGGCTGGATATCAGGGGACAGGTGGCAGCAGGGTCAAAGTAGATGTAGGTTCACACTTCTACCTCCTGGGGAAGGAGAGACATAAGAAGGGGGTAATGAAGGGAAGGGGAGACACTAGGACCTTGTCTACACTACATGGTTTTTCGAGAAAAGTCAGCTTTTGTCAACAAAACAGTGGAAGTGTACATACTTCTCTCATCGATGTCACTCTCCTGCTAAGCCGACATAATAAAACCACCTTGACGAGTGGCATAGAGCTTTTTGCAAGATAGTTAGAGTGATCAGCGTCAGTGTAGATACCTCACTTGGTTATATCACCCTAATTGGCCTCCAGGAGGCATCCCACAGTGCTCATCATGATAGCTCTGGTCAGCAGTTTAAACTCTGCTGCCCTGAAGTTATAAAGGTATGCACCCCTCCACCGTTTAAAGGTCCAGGAATTTTTGAAATTCCTCTTTCTGTTTGCTCGGCCTGAGCAGTTCACACAGCATCTTCCCAGTTGACCATGCTGGCTTTCTGCAGCAGATGCGCTCCTAAGTGGAGCACACCAAAACTGTTGGATCTGCTGAGTATATGGGGAGAGGAGGCTGTGCAGTTGCAGCTTCGCACCAGCCATAGGAATTTCGATATTTGAGCAACGACTTTGGACGTGGTCAGCCAACACAAGGAGTGTTGTGTGGACGTGCTTCACTGATGTTATTAAAGCGACTTATGATCGTCAACAATACTTAAGTTGACTTAACTCTGTAGTGTAGACATGGTCTTGTTGGTGGTAGAGCAGTAAGGAGGAAGTGATGGGGAGTGAAGTGACACGAAGAGGGGGTAAAGGATGAGGATGGAAGAGATCAGCAAAGTGGGAGGTAGAAGCATTGATGCAGGGGCAACAAGGACAACACTATAAGGATTTGGGGGGAGGGCAGGAGAGACAGACGGGAACGCTCAGCAAGAAGGAAAGGAGAGACATGAAGGGTATGTCTACACTACCCATGTTACAGTGCGGCTGCGGCAGCACTGTGACGTGGGCAGTGTAGTCACACCTTATTGCCGGGGGAAAGCTCTCCCGTAGATAAAAAATAACCACCTCGAACGAGAGGTGGTAGCTGCTCCCGGCGATATAGCGCTGTCTATACTGGCGCTTTTCAGCACTAAAACTTTTGTCGCTCAGGGGAGTGTTTTTTCACACCCCTGAACTAATAAAGTTTTAGCGCTGAAAGTGGCAGTGTATTCACAGCCAAAGACAGAAACAATGACAGTAGGAAGCTGAGGCTAGGTCTACACTACAGCGGTGTTCCGACCTAAGATACGCAACTTCAGCTACGTGAATACCGTAGCTGAAGTTGCGTATTTTAGGTCGGCTTACCTGGTGGTGAGGACGGGGGAAAGCCGACCGCTGCCGCGCTGCCGCCGACTCCGCTACCGCCTCTTGTCGAGGTGGATTTCCGGAGTCGACGGCAGAGTGATCAGGGATCGATTTTACCGCGTCCTCACGAGATGCGGTAAGTCGATCCCCGATAAACCGATTGCTACCCGCCGGATCGGCGGGTAGTGAAGACGTAGCCTGAGACATGACATGGGGCAGCAAAGGGTTAAGAGGAGAAGAGAAGGCAGGCAGTGAGGAGGGGCAATGAGTGGGGAAGCAGTGATATGGGGAAGCAACAGAGAGAGAAAAAGAGATAAGGGCAGAGAGTGGGAAAGAGACACCTGGCACAGGAGCAGCAAGGGGGAGGGGAAGGAGAGAAGGAAAAGTAGGCAGAACACAGAGGAGAAAAAGGCCTATTTATTATTATTATTATTACAGTAGCATGAGGAGAAACCCTCCTATCAACATTGCCCTAGGTGCTATACAAACACACTGTGCTTTCCCTGAATAACTTAATCTAAATTATTATTTATTCTTATTAAGGGATTTCAGTCCATGCCACCAGGAGCCTGTGAGACAAGGTTAAAGGAGAGAATAGCAGTTGATTTTCTGAAGAACTGGGGCTCATGCAGCTCTTATTGTCCTCATAGGCAGCAGCTGGGTTGACAGTATTTTTGAAAATCAGGCCATATAGTTATGTGCATAAATATGAACACAGAAGTCTAACTTTATGCACCTATATTTAAAAAACAACAACAAGGAGTCTGGTGGCACCTTAAAGACTAACAGATATTTTAAAAGCTTGGCTTTTGGGCACAGTTTCACTCTTTTCCCTGTGTAGTCAGTCAGTTTCCCCTATTTGTGAAGCAAGAGGAAAGAAAAAACTTTTTTTAAAAACATAGGAAAATGCGGTTGTAAACACAAAACTTGGCAGCACAACCCAGGGGCATAGGTAGGACATCAAAGTCCCCCTTTTTTTTTTTAACATTGATTAGATTTCAACTCGTTGTTGTTTTAAGATAGTGAAAGTTAATTTAAGTCACAGATGTTTTTATGTTTTATCAGATTCCTTTGGTAGAAATAAATGGGCCTAGATCTGGTCTCCCGCTGGTGCAAATCAGGAGAGAATCCACTGAAATCAGTGGATTTACACTAGTATAAAACTAGGCCCAAGTTGCCCATGTGGTGTGAGTAAGGCAGGACCCCAGGGCCCCTTTACCCCCAGCGGATTGCATGGGTGTGTGTGGGGGGGGGGGGGGCGGTACACGAGTGCAGAACTGGGCCCTGGGTGTGTCAATATGTCTTGTCCTCATGGGCCCCCGGGCTGTGTCAGTTCAGCACCCAAAACCCTGCTAATGATAAAATGGGGACGCGCACGCGCTCGCGTCTCACTCTCTGCAACTTTCCCTGCCCCGTGCGGAGCAGCCCCACGGGAGGCGGGGCCCGGTCGCTCTGGCGGCGCGGCCCCTTTAAATGCTAATGAGGCCGCCCCAGGCTCGGGGCTGGCCCTAGCTGACTGTATTAAAAACTTCGGCGGGGCCATTTTGGGGGCAGTAAGACCCAGCGCGGAGCCCGAGCGACCCAGCGCGAGACACCGACCCACCCGACGCGCCGCGCGCCAGCACGCGGCCACCACCGACCGCCCCGGAGAGACGCAATGAGCGAGGCGGCGCAGACCAGCCCCACGGCGGCGGCCCCCCCATCCCCCACCGGCCCCCCCGCCGCCGCGCCGGCCTCCCCGGCCCAGGACGCCAAGCCCAAGAGCCCCGCTAGCCCCAGCGCCCCGGCGGGCAGCGCCAGCGGAGACGCGGCCCCCGCCGCCCCCGCCAGTGACAGCAGCAGCGCGGCCCCCGCCGCGGACACGGAGAAGAAAGTTCTGGGTGAGGCCCGGCCGGGGGGCGCGCTTGGGGGGCGCGCGCACGGGAACCTGGGGAGCCGGGCAGCTCCCACGTGCGGCGGGCGGGGGCCGGTGACAGCCACAGAGCGAGCCGGCCCCGCCTCGGCCGAGCTCCCCTGGGGTGGGCGCGGGGGTCCCGGCCCGGCCGGGCGATCCGGGGCGAGACCCCCGGCTGGGAGCTGGGCCGGGCCGCCCTGCGCACGTGGAGCGGGCCGGGGATCCCGCATGTGGCCCCCGCGGCTGCTGTTGTGTCCGGTGCGGGAGCGCGCGTCCTGCGCCCCGGCTGCCGGGGTTCGCTGAGCTGACTGGTCCGCTCCGCCCCTGGGACTCGCGGCCGGGACCTGCCCCGCTGCGCGGCCAGCCAGGCCCCTTCCTCGCTGCTGCGCGGCCGCGCTTCCCGGGCGGGGGCGGGAGCGGGAGCGGCGGCGCTCACGAGAACGTCGTAGAAAGTCTCCGTGTAAACAGGGCGCGTCGGCCACTGAGCTGCGCAGCGCGCGCGCCGGGCCCGGGGGCCAACGCTCCGCAAAGCTGTAGGAAGTGCAGTGCCCTTCCCGCGGCCGGCTCCTCCGCCCGCAGCGCTCCGTGGGGAGCCTCAGGCTGTCAGCAAGGACGGGAGTAAAGGCCACGGGGGCGGTTCGACCTGTGTCCGAGATGGGGGGGGGGACAATTATTTGCCCTATTGTTGCAGCATGTTGGTCTCAGGGTATTACAGAGGCAAGGTGGGTGAGGTAATATTTTTTTATTGAACCAACTTCTGGTGAGTGCGACAAGTTTTTGAGCTACCTGGACCTGAAGAAGAGCGCTGTGTAGTTTGAAAGCTTGTGTCTTTCACCAGCAGACATTGGTCCAATAAAAGATAATACCTCAACACCTTGCTGTTTATAGTTGATATTCAACATCCGTTTGCTCATGGAGACAGACGGGTGTAAAGGAGGTTTCACGGTGGGAGGACAAGATCCTGGTGTTGGGAGAACTGCTGATTCCTCTCACAAGTAGCTTCTGTTGCCCTCATTCCTTTCGGGAAGATAGTGGCCTGTCAGTCACAGCGGGCATCAGAAGTGCCCCTGTGAGGATGCGTGCCTCTGTTTCACTTGACTCACCATGATCTGACACACTTGGACACAGTCTGTCGTTTGTCAATGAATTCCTTAAGGACTTCTGAATGTCCCAGGCGAAGGATGGAGATTCCCTAGCATCCTAGTGTAGGGGGGCCAGCACTGAGAAAAGTGCAGGCGCTTGGCCTGGCAGGAGAGCTTTTTGAGGATATTAAGTGTGGTAGCAGCGGGAGAGAGAAATGAGGAGCAGGTGGAATTAAAGCCAGGTCAGTCGGGGGGTCAGATACTGATATTGGTCATCAGCTTCCTAGACTTTGTTTGCAGTATTCTGTGTTTCCTTTAGTAGTACTATATTGGATCCATTTTGGGTAGATCAGCAATACAGCGTGGAGGTATGTCAGCAGTGTTCTAAGGGTATTTTAGCCATACTCGCACTAATCGTGGCATAATTTATCAGCATTCTGGAGTACAGTTCCTCTGGCAGTATTGGATTAAGGTTCTTTTGCAATATACTCTCATGGGCAAAGATGCATCGAAACAAGCACTCCTAGATCCAAACCTCAAACTTGTGCAAGTTTGGGTTCTGAACTGGATTTCTTGGTTCAGGCACACCTGGGATACCTCAGGGGTATATCAGCAGTTATGAATTCTGGAGTACTGCTGCTATCTGTTTCAATTTCTACTGGATAGAGTAGCTTGTAGGATGGCTTAAAAAGTCCTAATGTATTTTAGGAACTACACTGTTGCGTGCTATGTTTGCACTAGGGATGTAAAATGTTAACCGGTTAACTGATAAGCATCAGTCTTACCGGTAACGTATTCAGTTAATGTTTAAATGCCTAATGTGCACATAAAAAAAGTCGCAGCAATACCATTTCATAGTGTATGTGGAACTAGGTTCTATATTGTTAGGATTGGGACCATTGCTATGGAACTGACATCATAGGTGCGGGAACTAGGAGTGCGGGGTGTGCTGCAGCACCCACACGTATTACGCGACGGCCAGCCGCCGGGACCCCGGGTAAAACATAGGGGTGCTGCAGCACTCCCCTCGTCCCTGGTTCCTGCACCTATGTTGTGAACTTGTTAACGGTTAAATGGTTAAACGATTAACACAATAAAACTGGGGCTATGAGACTAACTAGTAGGGAAAAGGCCTTTGCGCTCATAAGGACTGAGACACTTGAATAGGCTTTCCAAAAGAAGCTTTCAAAGTCCTATGGTTACTGACATACAGGAGCAGATTAAAAAAGATGTCCTTGGGAATGAGGGTGGAAGGAGTTTTGCAAAAGAATGATAAAATCTTAAATTTGGTCTGATGTCAAAATATTGCTGTTGTCTGCAAACCAGCCTTATTGCTAGGTTGTGTTCGTGGGGTTTTTTTTGTTTGTTTGTTTGTTTTTGACACAGGGAATGGAAGGATAGCGCTTTGACTGCGTTGGTTGAAAATGCTCTCTTGAGCAAGTCTTTTATTTATCTTGTTAATCTCAAACTTCCATGTTAATGGCTTTGCAAATATGTATGCTAAGTGCCACTGAAAGCATATTGTAACACATGGTGAGACCCCCTGAATTTGATGGATAAATAGAAAAATTAATTACCCACCAATTTTTGTTGACTCTTCATTAAGAAAAAAATGAAACTTGTGTCTGAAGTTTCCTGGGAAATTATTGGTTTCAGTCTGAGAGCTTTCCATGGACCTGTTGAAATGAGAGGGTTGGCTTAATTCAGTTCCTAGTGGGACACGTGTGCATACCACAAAAATCACCTCCATGATTGTCATTTATTGATCCCCGTTTTGGCAGACTAACTGGAAAGGCCAGGGTACTGAACTCTCATCCCTAGAAATGATATCTCCATGGTGGGGATGAGATACACTTTTTTAAAATCTGTCTAATGTAACTGTGGAAGTTGTCAATGTAAGTAGTCTAGACCATCATGCTTAACTGTCTAGGGTTAGGTAGAGGTGTTCCCTGGTGGCAGCTTATTCCATAATTGCTAAGGCCCCCCCCTTAACTTGGGAAATTGTGGAAAATGCGGATTCCACAATATTAGGCTTCCATTGCAGTTTTGACAGCAGGAGTCCCCGCTTTCAGCCCTGGGCAATTTTGACAGCAGGAGTCCCCGCTTTCAGCCCTGGGCGGCCGACAGTGGAAAATTGCCAAAAAATAATAATGGACTTAATAAATAATTTTTAATAATTAATTATTTTTTCTAATTTTGCATGGCTTGTCCACTACTCAGCTGCAGTATTTTGACAGTCATCCCACAATTCACGTAGGGCCTTAATAATTGCCCTTTTTGGGGTTTCTTGCGCCTTCCTCTGAAGCATGAAGTACTGGCTTTGGCCACAGGATGGGGTGGACTGGAGGCCTGGATATTGATGGACCCCTGCTCTGATTGAGTATGGTAATATCTGTGTTCCTATCATTCTAGTTAAGGGTTTTGGCCAATTCTCTGTCCAGCTCCCTTTCTTTTCCTTGTTCTTTGAAGCAGGTATATTCAGTACAAATAAGTTATAAATGAAATTTTAAAGTGAATTTTATCTTTTAAAAATTCTAAAATTCAAGAAAGTCTGTTACTATTTTAACATGCATGTTTGTCTGCATATTATATCTGGCAAACTTATTTGGTTAGGGGAACAACCCATGCTATAGGACCGGGTGAAACTTGTTCCTCCAAGATAGTATAATAGGGTCCATGTGAAGGAGGGTGGTTGGGGACTGTTAGCAGAACGTTTCAAATCAAGAGCTGTGGAATTTTAGGGCTCAAGATCATGCTGAGTTCTCAGTAACTGTTGGATTCAGTTATCATGGAAAAAACAGACAAGGAGGAAAACATCAGAGACCAATAGATGAAACTCAGGCCATCTGTTTAGAGGTTCCCTGTTTCACTGATGTAGTCTTTCTTTTGATTTTCTAGAAAGAAAGGAAGAATTGGCGCAGGATATCCGATTATATCTGTATCCATAGAATGTAAGAGTTAGTATAAGAAAAAAGCTGTTTAGGGAAAACCAAGAGGCTCTGTAACTAGGGATAAAGGGGTGAAAAAGAGCAAAGGGTGAGCGTTTCCAGCAGGATATCAGAAAATATTTTCCTAACAGTAAGAACTATCAGCCAGTGGTATAATCTCCTTAGGGAAAGTATTAAAAGCCCCCCCTGCTCCACTGATGCCAGACAAGACCTGTCACCCACACTCCAGATGATGCAGCATGAGGTTCTCTGTGGTATTTTTCTGTCTGCTTCTAGATGTCCTGAGTAGGCACTCCTGCCATGTTTGCTTTTTGATAGCTGGATACTAGAGTTAAACACAACTAAGTGGTGCCCCAGTCTGGCAGCTGGATTCTCTGCTTGTATGTCCTGCATCTTGCCACAGCCCATGTTCAAGCTAGGGATCGCACATGGGGATCAGTAGGCAGCAGCTGGATTGTAGAAGTGGGAAAGATAGCCTAGAAGTGACAGATGTGATCCAGTGGTAAGAGAATTGGGATGGAAATCAGAAAATGTGGGTTCCATTCTTGGCTCTGCCACTGACTTGCTGTGTGACTTCAGGTCAGCGGTTCTCAGCCCACGGGTACTGCCAGGTTCCCCGCTGCATGGAGCGGAGGGGTCCAAGCTGCCCCTTCAAGTTCTGGGGGCTGGGGCAGCCGTCCACTCCCGGTCCGGGGCAGTCGTGTGGCAGGGGTCTAGGGTCAGGCTCCAAGCTGTCGCTGCCCTGCCACCTGGACCATGCGGTCCAGGTAACACATTGTGGACCATTGCTTCAGGTAAATTGCTTATCCTCAGTCTCCGTTCCACATCTGTGAAACAGGACTATTCATTTGTCCCCACCTGGGTAAAATAAACTGATAAACTAAAAAAGTGCTATGTAAGTGCAAAGTATTATAAGGAAGCATTTCTTTGACTATAATAAGGTTATGTTACATATTGGCCTGTCCTAAATAACTCCGTACAGTATTTGCAGGTGTAAAGGAAGGGGAACACACACCTGTTGTGTTTGATGCAGGAAGTTACTAGATGTGTGTTACTAGAGGGTGACTGATATTAATTTACTTTTAATTTTCAGCCACTAAAGTTCTTGGCACTGTCAAGTGGTTCAACGTCAGAAACGGATATGGCTTTATCAACAGGTATGTTTGTTATTATTGATAAATTTGTGCAGCACCGCAGTTCACATGCTTAATGGATCTATTAAGTCTTGAGCCTTCAAAATCAGGCTAGAAATCTCACAGGAAGAGGGGTTTTCTGAGATTTCTGGTATTTCCTGTTTCTGGTTGGGTTCAAAATACCACAAGGTTGGCCTGTGATGCCGCATTTTAGCTCTGATAGCCTGATAACCATTAAGGTTCTGAGTTAAAATCAGATGATAGGTGGATGTGGGAGGAAGTTATTGAACCTTTCCAAACGTGGGTGTGTCTGTGTTGTGGTGGGGAGGGGAACAGATTTGAGCTTTGGAGAAAGTTTTGGTAAAGGTGTTCTTACTTTCTGTCCAAACACGTTCACTCATCCCAATTACAGTCTCCACTAAAAATCCACAGTTCTATGTTTTATAGTTCTAGCTGGGCACAGACTTGAACATGCAGAAGTTACGGGGTATTCCAAAGCTCAAGTCCAGATCCACATCTGAATTTTGGAAGTGGTCCCTCTCTCTCTCTAATAGGTCAAACCAAAATTCTGGCTCTACACTCCCACGCTGAATTTTAAGAATCTGCATCTTGTACTCTGTCCACCCTCAAGGGCATCTTATCATCCACTCATGTGGGTTACTAAACTGTTTCTAAGTGACTTCAAGCAAAAAATGGGAGAGCTAAAAGCTAGTGGTACGTGGCTTGCTCATGAAAACACTGTGATAAACTTACAGTTGACAAGCTACAGAAACTTGATTATTAATATTTTTTTATTTTTTTTTAAATAGTTTTCAAACTTTTTTTTAAAATCCTCTGTCAGAAAATGGATATAGCAAAAGAATCCAGACAAGCCTCAGTTTAGGGAGTTCGATAACTCAAGTAGATCAGAGACGGGAGATAAAGTATTTTACATCATAGAAACCATTTCCAATACAGCACTGTATTGTGGCGGACTCCATGTCTGTGATGAATTAGAGAACGGGGATATGGAACCTTTCAGTGCAACCACAGCTCACTGAGGCTGGCTGCCCCTCATATAGGACACTTATATTGGGGATGGGGAGAGGGGATTCGATTCATGTTGAGAGAGCTCCATATCCCCTTCTATAACACAGTTTCCAAGGTCGTGCAAGATGAGGAGGGTAATGAATGGCTTGGAGTTAAGGAAAATAACATCAAGCCTTCCATCTCTAGGTCATTGGTTTTACTTCAGCCCCTCTGAGGTAGTGATTCTTTCCAATTATGTTCTCTCAGTGAAATGCATTTTCTGGCTCTCAGTCCAGTGGGAGAAGGCTCCGCACAATAAAACCATTATCAAAATTTGCACACTTATTGTCTTCCCCTACTTTCTCTGATCCACCCGTTATCAGTCCCAGTAAGGAAGCCAAACGGTTGAATAGGCCATAGAGATTTCCCTTGTTTCCTGGGAACATAGAGATTACACCCAATAGTGCTTCTAGTTCAGTATCCTCACTCTGACAGTAGCCAATGCCACATGCATCAGAGAGGGTGCAAGAAACCATATAGTAGCCAATTATGGAACAACCAGCTTACAGGGGAAGTTTCTAACCCTTGTTAGTGCTTGACTTCTATGCCTGGAAATAAAAAGGTTTATATTCTTATACAATTCTATCTTCCTAAATCAGGAGGAGCATATTTGGGAGAAGGGCGGGGGGGAAGAGTCCCTCAGATTTCTTGACTGTCAACTTAGCACCTTTTCACAAGCCACTGTAAACAGTAGCGTGGTACTGAAATTCTTTTGGAGTATTTAAGAGTTCCTAGCTTCTGCATCTGTGTGCGCGCACTGGATGTGAGTTCTCTCAGATATGTGTCAGCCTGTATCACATGCAGAATCCTATACTGGGTGGAGGATTGTCTAGACAACCTAGTAAGTTTTGCTCCTTGATTTCATACGTAGCTCTCCCCCTCCCAGTGAGTATTCCTAGTCCCTCCTCTCCTGGGCTGTTTTGGGTTTCAGTGTAAGGGGAGCTATGTTAACAGCTGTGCACAGTCCTGTTGACAGTCTCACTTGACCTGTGGGATAATGTGCTGGGAGCTTGAGTTGCAGGTCCTGTGGTCGTGGAGAGGAGAGGGAGAGAATATAATAGCCTGGCTGCCTATGTCAGACTACACCTTGGATGTCTGTCCACAGATTACAGGGTGGTCCCTGGGGAAGATGGAAAATCCCCTGCTGTTGGGGAAACGATACAGAGGGAATTCACAGCCAGGTCTGAATGGAGAGACAGAGTAGGTTTGTACTGCACGTGGAATCCCAGGGGGTGTGTGCCCTATGGAGGCTCCAGGAGATGTATTTCCAGGTTCTGTTCCTCCTTAAAAGAGGTACATGGACTGGTGAGTTGAACCCCAGGGACTATCTCCAGTAAAGCTGCAGGCCTAAATAATCAGATGCCCCATGATTACATCTCTCTCTCTCTCTCCACACTTTTTCCACAGAAATGACACAAAAGAAGATGTGTTTGTTCATCAGGTGAGTGAGAGGCAGTGGACTGTCTTTTTGTAGATTTTATACATTGTAAAACTTGTTGCCACGTACTGTCCATACTCATCTCTCAGCCCTAGTCTCTCCTTATGAGTGCTAAAGGCGTCATCCTGAATTGCTTCAGCCCCACATGTATCACTGACAAATTTCCTTCTCTTAGCCACTCTCATTATATGGAGTTAAAGGGGTTGTCCTAGTCAGAACTCTCCCAGCTTCCTCTGTGTATAACAGTTACAGATCCCCCTCTCTATCTTTCATCTCCTTCTGTCTTCTCTTGCCCACTGTGGTTTAGGCAGGGGGCTTTTTTCTTTCCAGCAGGGTAACTGCTCAGTTGGTGTGGGGGAGGGAGTATCTGGCTCAAATAAAGTGAAATGAACCTTTTTCCCCCCTGTTTTCTACCTCATTCTCCCACCCTCCTTTTCTTCTGCACCAGACCCTCTGTTGTTCATACTCCTGGCTTCCTTTCCAGTCCTCTCACTCTTCTTTTCTCCTTTTCATTCTTAGCCCTATTCCTCCTCTTGCTCTACTATCAATCTCTCCTTCTGTCCCCTTTCTTGCCATTCTTGAAGGAAAAGGATCCAATCGGATCCTTAACCAGCCTGGACATTATCAGCTGTCACAATGTGAAACAGCTGCAACCAAGAATGACAGGCAAGAGGGAATGCACCAGTTGTGACTGGGCAGGGAGTGGTCAACAAGAAGCCTGCTAGTGCACATGGGGTTCCCTGAGCCATCAGCAGGTCATGCTTTTAAAGCGTTTCCCTATGACCTGGGACTTCTGTTCTGAGATTTGAGGATGGCTGCGACCTCCTGAGGGTTAAATGTTCATCAGCTATCTGTATTTACATCACACTCATTACTGTAATATCTGAGAGATGCACATTTGACCAAGAGGTTGTTACCCACACAAAATTCTGTTACTCACACACTTTAGGGGCACCCACCTTTACTCAGTTCCTAGGGCTCAAGGCATAACCCTCTTAATTTAGGCACCCATCCATACCCCATTCCTGGGGCTCAGGCATTACCTTAGGCTCTAGGGCACCCACCTTTACCCCGTTCTTAGGGCTTAGGCGTGATCCTGTTAATTTAGGCACCCACCGGTACCCTTCTGTGGTCTCAGGGCATTACCTTACACTCTGCGGGTTTGCAGAGTCTTTTACCAGTGAAAGAGCCTTACACAGTAATATCCTACTTAACCTCTATTTATTAACAGTTCCCTACAAAAATGAATGCATACGCTAAGCATACAATGCTCACCACTCCCAGTCTTCTTGATGGCCAGTCAGGATCAGGTCATCTGATCTTGGGGCTGTGTCCTGGAGTTGGTTCCCAAGAACTTCCTTTTGGACCCCAGTTTATATAGTGAAACTTGAGTCCTGCTTAACCAATACCTTAACCAATCATTTTACTAAAATATTACTAAACAATTTTCCAACCAATTCCAAAATCTTGTAAAACAATTCTTTAACCCGTTATACCTTCATTAGTTTACACCTAGCAAAATTAATTATGTAACAGGCAGAAACAATCAACAGACAGAGACCATACAGCTAAAGAATAGTGAAGGGATAGCTCAGTGGTTTGAGCATTGGCCTGCTAAACCCAGGGTTGTGAGTTCAATCCTTGAGGGGGCGATTTGGGGCAAAAATCTGTCTGGGGATTGGTCCTGCTTTGAGCAGGGGGTTGGACTAGATGACCTCCTGAGGTCCCTTCCAACCCTGATATTCTATGATTCTAAATGGGGGACCATAAAGACAAAACAATAAAGTAGGGATTTCACAACCACAGCTTGTCGATAAGTGATTTCTTGCCAGACAGAATGCCATCAAACAAAGTTTTCTTGAACCGTCTTAAGATCTGTTTCTTTATCTGGTGATGGTGGGTACTATTAGGACAGGAATGTGAGGATGTGACTTTCTGCTTCTTTGCTAATGGCTGCTGCTCTTCTAATATGGCTACAGAGAAAGGCTTTAGGCCTTAAATATGGCTACAGGAAAAGGCCTTATCCTTACAAGGTTACGTGCATTCCCTGTTGGGAAGCTTGTCCCAAACACCTGAAAACAACAAAATTTCAAATGCTCCCTGATGAGCTAGCACCAAACCTTAAGCACCAAAAGCACAGGCTTCTACCACTTAAAGTTAAAGGAGTAACTCCATCAAGTGTAAGAGGTTTTATCCTCTGTGTGAGCCAGCCACTAGAAGCAGATGAGAGACACACATAGTCTGCATGTTAAACAATGGTTACTGTGTATGTGTATATAACATTACTGGTGCTAAGGATACTCCGCTTGGTGGTGTGACTGTTCCTCAGGGTGATAGGAGTCAGAATTAACCTCATAGTTTTTAAGAGTTTGTGAACATGTTAATGAGAGATGAGACAGCAAGGGTGTTTGTGTGTAATTAATTACGATTTATATTGCATTAGGGGCGATGGCCTCATGTGCTAGTCATTGTACAATATCTCCCTGTCCCTGTCCCAAAGAGCTGACAGTCGTAAGTGCCAGGCTATAGGCAGCAGGTGGATACAGCTAACAGATGGGGTCAGCACAAGGGAACCGTGAGATATTGGCCATGATGAAAAAGGTGATAGCAGCAAGTGAGCTGCCTAATCATTGTCAAACTTTTAATAGGCATCATGGCAGTGAAGTATTTTTAAGGAGAAATTTAAAGAAGGACAATGAGGTGGCTCTACAGCTATTTACAATGGCATGGGAGTAGGCACAGCGGTGCTTGTTGAAAAGTTTTTAAAATGGGCTCTCAAGAATGGCATTGTTAGCATTACTGCATAAAAGATTATGGTAGATGAGGGTTCTTAAATGTGAAGACTAATAGTTTTGTGTTTTGATGCAGCAGAGTTTCTACCCACTCTCTTTGTCACCACTTTGTTCCTGTCCTCAGAGAAGGGGAGATGTGTGATTCCCATATGTAGATTAAGGAGCCATAGTGGGAAGATGGGGAGAATTTTTGTCCTTCCAAAGGTCAATATATGGGTAAAGTGGATGGGTAAAATCCTCTAGGAGTGTGCCCTTTGAGCAAAATCAGGCCTGATGTTAGTGAGTGAAATTGCATTTATTTCAGATGTCTACTTACTCTAGGATTAAATTTGTCCCATTGTCTCAACATCCATAACTAGACTATTCTGGCTGGTCTTAGACTTGGTCCAGGATTTGATGTTCCTGAATTCATGCTTCCTTCCCTTTCTTTTGTTGTCCTACCACCCTGTCAGGAGCCCTAGCCAAATGGCATTTGAAACTCTGAAGGATTGACCACCTTCAGGCAATACTAGGCAGTTGGAGTTGGTATTGATTTAGTGGGAAGTGATATCCCCACTGCAGTAGTCTGGTTTTCCTGGTAGGATTCCTAACCAAGTACAAACTAAACCAGCCCCTGCTGAATTTATGAGAGCTGGGAGGGATCTCAGCTCCCCTTGGGATGGTACAGTGATTCAGTCAAGCAGATTGTGGCCTGCCTGAGTGAGAAGGAAAGGGAACAGTCAAGCAGGGAGTGGCAGTTACAAAGTCCTATCAATCACGTACACAAACATCCTGCTCTGAACTGCCTCTTTCCTCTCTGGGTAGTGACTGTTCCCTGCCTCTGTGGACTCCTCCCCCAGCACTTGGGAAGTGTGGAGGAGGGGTTGGATTACACATGTAATCTCTTTAGAATAAGGCTGACCTAGTTGAAGGGACACACCCACCCTCCACTCACACAGTGGGAGGGGAGCAGGCAGATCTTATGATCAGGGTGGGGGTTAACACTCTTTATTTGCTGCTATTGGATGCTATTTATATATACACAGCATACAGATTAAAATACTTCTCTCCTTAGAGCATACATGGCTGCTTTGTATTAACAGTTTCTCTCTTGCCATGGCTCCAAATCATGCAGAATCTGGAGCTAGAAAGACCTATTTGGCCTCATCTTGCTTATCGTTCTTGGCCACGGCCTGATCATTCTTTGGTGTGTTATCTAGGTCTCTGTCTATTACCAGTTATAAGTGACCCAAGTGATGTGCCTCTACCATTCTCATTGGGGAGGCTATGGCTATTCCAAAATGAAATAAATGAAGAAATATTTCCTGGAACTTTCCTCCTGAAATTTTAACTAATTTCTTTTAGTTGCAGCCCCTTTAGCATCCTTAAAAGTCCCTATCCCTCTTTGATGTTTAAGAACATAAGAATGGTCTGACCCAGTACGGCCAGTTGTCCATATAGCCCAGTATCCTGTCTTCAGACAGTAGCCAATGCCAGGTGCTTCTGAAAGAATGAACAGAATAGCAATCATTAAGTGATCCATCCCCTGTCATCCACTCCCAGTTCTGGCAACCAAAGTCTAGGGATACCCAGAGCATGAGGTTGCATCCCTGGCCATCTTGGTGAATAGCTATTGATGGACCTATCCTCCATGAACTAATCTAATTATTTTTTGAACTCTGTTATAGTTTTTGGCCTTCACAACATCCTCTGACAAAGAGTTCCACAGGTTGACTGTGCATTGTGCGAAAAAATATTTCCTTTTGTTTGTTTTAAACCTCTGCCTATTAATATCATTTGGTGGCCCCTAGTTCTTGTGTTATGGAGAAGGAGTAAATAACACTTCCTTATTTACTTTGTTCACACCAGTCATGATTTTATAGACCTCTATCGTATCCCCACTTAGTTGTCTCTTTTCCAAGATGAAAAGTCCCAGTCTTATTAATCTGTCCTCATACAGCAGCTGTTCCGTATCCGTAATCATTTTTGTTGCCCTTTTCTGAACCTTTTCCAATTCCAGTATATCTTTTTTTTGAGATGGGGCGACCATATCTGCACACAGTATTCAAGATGTGGGCATACCATGGATTTATATAGAGGCAATATGATATTTTCTGTCATATTATCTATCCCTTTCCTAATGATTTCAAGCATTCTGTTAACTTTTTTGACTGTTGCTGCACATTGAGTGGATGTTTTCAGAGAACTATCCACAATGACTCCAAGAACTTTCTTGAGTGGTAATAGCTAATTTAGAGCCCATCATTTTATATGTGTCGTTGGGATTATGTTTTCCAATGTGCATTACTTTGCATTTATCAGCACTGAATGTTATCTGCCATTTTGTTGCCCAGTCACCCAGTTTTGAGAGATCCTTTTGTAACTCTTCGCAGTCTGCCTGGGACTTAACTATCTTGAGTAGTTTTGTATCATCTGCAAATTTTGCCACCTCACGGTTTACCCCTTTTTCCAGATCATTTATGATCATGTTAAATAGGACTGGGCCCAGTACAGACCTTGAGGGGGCACCACTATTTATCTCTCTCCATTCTGAAAAATGACCATTTATTCCTACCCTTTGTTTCGTATCTTTTAACCAGTTACCAATCCATGAGAGGACCTTCCCTCTTATCCCATGACTGCTTACTTTGCTGAAGAGCTTTTGGTGAGGGACCTTGTCAAAGGCTTTCTGAAAATCTAAATATACTATGTCCACTGGATCCCCCTGGTCCACATGCTTGTTGACCCCCTCGAAGAATTCTAGTAGATTTGCGAAGCATGATTTCCCTTTACAAAAACCATGTTGACTCTTCCCCAACAAATTATTTCATCTGTGTGTCACAATTTTGTTCTTTACTATAGTTTCAACCAGTTTGGCCGGAACTGATGTCAGGCTTACCGGCCTGTAATTGCCAGGGTCGCCTCTGGAGCACTTTTTAAAAATTGGTGTCATGTTTGCTATCTTCCAGTCATTTGGTACAGAAGCTGATTTAAATGATAGGTTACAGACTACAGTTAGTAGTCCTGCAATTTCACATTTGAGTTCCTTCAGAACTCTTGGGTGAATGCCATCTGGTCCAGGTGATTTATTACTGTTTAGTTTATCAATTTGTTCCAAAACCTTTTCTAATGACACCTCAATCTGGGACAGTTCCTCAGATTTGTCACCTAAAAAGAATGGCTCAGGTTTGGTAATCTCCCTCACATCCTCAACCGTGAAGACTGTTGCAAAGAATTCATTTAGTTTCTCTGCAATGGCCTTATCAACCTCAAGTGCTCCTTTAGCATAGATCATAGAATCATAGGGTTGGAAGGGACCTCAGGAGGTCATCTAATCCAACCCCCTGCTCAAAGCAGGACTAATCCCCAGACAGATTTTTACCCCAGTTCCCTAAATGGCCTCCTCAAGGATTGAACTCACAACCCTGGGTTTAGCAGGCCAGTGCTCAAACCACTGAGCTAGCATCCCTTAAGGTTCTTTCAGCAGTGGTCCTGAACTGTGAACTGTTCCTTCATTTATAATCTGTGTATTTTATTTTGTTTCAATTTTGAATGAATTCAAAATAATTTTTTTGTCTCTGTGTAGTATAGCTCCTGAATCTGTCCATATACAATATATTTCTATTATCACCGTTTTATCTAATTGAAATATTCAGAATTGCAATCTTTCTGTCCATAAATCTCATAATACCACATTTGAAACTATCCGGTCTGTCCTCGGTCACCATAGAATCTGGGCACCTCACAAATTTGAATGAATTTATCCTCACTATACCACTGTGATATAGGTAAATCTGGTATTAGTTTCATCATTTGACAAATAGAAGTGTGCCAGGAGACACTGAACCAGATGAAATAATGTGACCACAGTCACACAGAAGTCTGCATCACAGACAGGAACTGCACCCAAATCTCCAGATTTCAAGTCTAGTGCTGGTATCAAATTTTCCTAGTTTTGATCTAATCTGTGTCCAGGTTTGTTAATTGTGATACCTAGCTCTTATATATAGCATCTTTTCATGTGAAGATCTCAGAGCGCTTGACAACACTTCTAGGTATACTTAATCCTGCCTCAGCACAGGAAGATTGCTTAGATGACCTCTTGAGGTCCCTTCCAAACCTACATTTCTGTGATAGTGCTTCAGGTAAAATCTTTGGCATAAATTGCATTGACTTTAGTAGATGTAGGGGTAGCCCACTAATTGCTCAAGGAGCCTTTCAGTGAATATGGGCTGAGTTTCTGTATCATATAATGGAAGAGATATTTGACCCTAGGTGTTTGTCTGCGTAGCAGAACCAAGGGCAAGAAGAGGAGGCCCTTTCTGAAAGTCACTTAACACCTTACAGTTAAAAGGTCATTAATAATGCCAGACCAAGTAGCATTAATGGTTCTAGCCCTCTAGAACCATTGATAGTGGAACAGAGCCCAAAGCCAGAAGTTTTGCATAGTTTCAGATTTTGTTGCAAACACCTTGCACAGTTCTCCTGCATTCCCTTTGTTGACACTTTGGGGGCACTACTGGATTAGGGGGGGATGGTCTGGGTAGAGGGATGCACAGTTAATATTGCCATCCATCAAGAGATTTCAGCCCAACTCCCATCTGCCCATCTCTCCTTGGCTGTCCACAGAGAAGAGAAATTCAAGATGCTGTCAGGGTAGTGTGGCTTCTTGTGCCTCTGTCCTCTATGGTCTCTGAAAGGACGTCAGGTCTTGGGCCTACTGCCTGTACCTGTGTCTGTGTGGAATTAGGTCAGGACCTAAGTACGCTATCCCATGTATACCAAACACTTATCGCCATGCAGGTCCAATTGGGTTTCAGGCACTTGTGTCTCCTCCCTTTGGGGACTTGCAACCAATGCAACAACCTTCTTAAAACAAAGGACCAGAGCATTAGAGAAAAAATGGCATATTTAGTCTAATCTAATCTTATGCTTCACCACAAGCAGTTAGATGAACTTCCCTCTTGAGTTACAGGAACAGAACTAACTTGTATCTGTTAGCAAGTTCAGATCCTCCTGTGACTGAGCATCTCTCAATCTGATTCTCTGACCCTACCCTGTTTGAACTTTTTTGGGGGGGAGTGGGGGATGCTGCTTAGGAAGAGGGCTAGAACCATTAATACTACTTGGTCTGGCATTATTAATGACCTTTTAACTGTAGGTGTTAAGTGACTTTCAGAAAGGGCCTCCTCTTCTTGCCCTTGGTTCTGCTACGCAGACAAACACCTAGGGTCAAATATCCCTTCCATTATATGATACAGAAACATCACTGTAGTGAGAGCATTAAGAGTATTTGTCACAGATACCATGGTACTCTTTGAACTATATGGGGAGAAAGTGCCAATGTGGATGCCAGTGGGGTTGTAGGGATGGTCTAGAGCATCAGAGGGTGAGTTAGGACTCAGGAGACCTTAGCTCGGTTCCTGGCTCAACAGCAGACTTCCTGTGTGACTTTGGGCAAGTAACTTTATCTACTTAGTGCCTCTGTTCGATGTCTAAAAATGAGAATAATATCTCTCATTACACCCTGTGAGGTAGAGGGTATGCTCTGTTAAGGATTGAGTGGTACTGAGATAATAAGATGCTCAAGGTCATTTAAATCACTGATAGTGCCCTTTCTGAATAAAGCAGAGTGAGGCTGTACATGAATAGTCTGAGATTGGGCAGAGGCAAAGGTAGCAGCCACTCCATCTCCTTGCCGCGAGCCACTAACTTGCTATCGGGGAACTGCTCTGGGAGAATCTGATTTCTGTTGCATTCCACCTCTGACTTTTGATCAAGGTGACTGTTTTGTCTCTTTAAAGACCGCGATCAAGAAGAACAACCCACGGAAATACCTACGCAGTGTTGGTGATGGAGAGACTGTAGAATTTGATGTGGTCGAGGGAGAGAAGGTGAGAGACTCTGAGAGATGGAGAAAGGCCTAAGTGGTCTTGGGTAGTCCATTGCCATCTTTCTCCCAATGGGGTTGGATGTAGGATCATTCCTTTGTATACATCCTCTAGTGCTCTGTTCAGTCTAGTGATAAATTACTCCACTGATGGAGCTTCTACTATTTCCCTTGGGAGACTATTCTCCTGTCTAATAAATCTTTACAAAATATATCAGGATCTCCACTTTGAAATTGTTTTTCTTTAATTTCATCCCATTACTCCTATGGGTTATAAAATTTTCTTATTTGACTAGATTAATTTTTTTAAATAGGAAGGCTGTAGGTCTGTACATGCACATTTTTGTACCCTACTGAATAATTCTCTCTGTCCTTGGTATTTGAACCCTTCAAATACTTGTAGATTCATGTTTCCTGTTAATTGTCATTTATCTAATCTGTAGATATTCAGGGTTGTTTTTTTGTGTTGTGTGTGGTTTGGTTGGTTGGTGGTTTTTTGTTTGTTTGTTTGTTTTAGTTTTTGTTCCTCAAAATTCAATTAAATTTTTCTGGCCCTCTGATCATTTTGCTGATATCTTCTGAACTCCCTATAGTTTGTGAATCTCTTTCTGGTAATGAGGTTGACAGTACCTGGCCTGCTTGTGCATTCTTGCCATATGAGGCTTGTGAGGAGTGGAAAAATAAGCAGTGTCAAAGAAAGATGCTATTTGGAGGGAAGACAGTCCCCTCTTGTCTTAATTCTGTAATTATGGAAACAGGGAGATGTTTTGATTCCCCATCTTGCTTCCTTTCTCTGGGTCTGTCTGCCTTCCACTTGGTTCTTGTTCTCTTGCCTGTTTTTCATCACGTCCTTTCTCTCTGTTTCTATCTCAGGGTGCAGAAGCAGCCAATGTCACTGGTCCAGATGGAGTCCCCGTGGAAGGCAGTCGTTATGCTGCAGACAGGCGCCGTTATCGACGTGGCTATTATGGCAGACGCCGTGGACCACCTCGTAATGTAAGTTGGGCTCAGTTTTTGTTTCAGCACTCCCACTTCAACCCCAGATCCTGAGATTCCCTGCGTGAGGATTGGGGAATTCCAAGTTAAGCACTATGTCATGATGAACAAATCCAGCTGAACTTGGAGGCAAGTGGTATGTTCCTCCTGATGTGCCCAGAAGGGAGAGGTTAACCAGCCACTGTCTTCTACCAATATTACGTGCTCACGATGTTGGAGCTGACACAATACACTCAGCCACTTGAGCTTTTCTGAAGAGATACCTCCCTGGTGTCTGTCTCTAGGAGGATGTGAAAAGTGGCTTTTGGTTGTGGAAGTATTTTCCTCCTTAAAAATGTGCCTCTATTTCTTTGCATAGTGAAGTACTCACTCTATTCTCTTCACTCATTCCTTTTTGGTTCTGTCTATGCTGGCCTAAAAGGTGATGGAATAAACAGTTGCTTTCCTTGCCTGTACAGGGACCATGTTAGGCCCCTATCTATGCAAGGGCTTCAAGCAGTGCACCTTTTGCCCGGTGATTATTCCAGAGTCTGATGCCCATGTTTGATGCCTCCTATGCCTGGGTAAAGCATTGTGCAGAGTGCTATACTTTCATTCCGTGCACCACATGGGAGATTGAGATGAGCCTGCAGCCTCAAACCTAAGCCTACAGCCTGATAACCTGACAGGTCTGTCAAAGGTATTCAGTTCAGCCTCTGTGCTGAGATCCTGTGACACAGGGTCCAAGACGCACACTTGCGAACCCTGAGGCCAGAACTATCATGGGCTGAAGATTGGAATTTCCTTGGCTTTGTACCACTTTAGATTTACACAGTGGCAATATCTGCACCAATTGCTAAGATCTCAAACCTAGCATTGACTCAAGAGGCGGCAACAACAAAGAGAGAGGAAGCCACATCCCTCTCCTTCATACCGTTCAATCCATGAGGGCCTTGAAGACTGTTATGGCATTGCTGTCGCCTGTTCTCCATGCTTCTCAGGAACTGGAATAACTAATTTGGATTCCTCATTGGTTCACGTGGCAGTGATGTCTTTTGATATCTGTGTGCCTGAGTTTGTGGGGGGTGTCCACTGACAAGGCAACTAGCCAACCCACCACTTGCTTTTTTTGCTGCTTGAACTCTGTCGCTATACTGATTTCTCTGGTCTTAATCCAGAACTGCCTTGGGGGTACCTTCAAACCCTTTTGGAGATTAACTTGGAGGGTCTCCTGACTCAGCCTCAAGACACTGGTCATTTTCCCCCACCTCAGATCAAGGTATCATGGAAGGATATCTTGCAGGGCCATCTTCAACCTGTGTTGCCCTGTGTACAGGACTCCATGAAAGCCTTGCTGGAGGTTGAGGCCAATCTCTGCACTGGCACCAGTGCCCCTTCCAACACTAAACCTTCCCTCTGCACCAATGCCCTCACAAGCACCTATTCCTCATCTGCCACTGACACAGCCTGTCTTTGATGACACTGATACCAGTAAGAGACCCCTTGGATCTATCCACATCTGTGGAATACTATGAGACTCCTTCAGAGGAAACGTTCAAGTTCCTTTTGTAGGCACATACAAATAGTATCTCATCAGAAGAACAAATTGATGCTTCATCGGTTTCCCTTCTTATGAACAGATACGGTTTCAGTAACTAGTGGGGAGAATGGCAAGTGTTCTCCAGCTGCAAACAGGGGTTATGGCACCAGAGATATCAATCCCCTGTTTATCATATTACAAATGCAGACCAGGGAGAAGCTTGCTCTGTCTACAGCTGTGCCCAAGGATATCTGGCTCTCTCTGCTCTCATTTCCAAGAGAGCAGACAGGATTTATGTTAAACCATGTGAAGGACATCAGTTATAGTGTTGCTTGGCAAACTCCATGCTGTTAACTTGCGGTACAGGAAAGAAGGGTAAGTAGGGTGTCCCACTCTGCCCTCTCTGTCAGAGGGGATATTAACTGGATATTTTGGTAGTATGTTCCTACTTACCTGTCTCGTTAGGATTTTGGGTGGCCAACTATAAGCCACATGTCCCATTACAATTATGCCCTGTGGATGCCATGAGCCACATCCTGGAATCTTTTCCTGAGGAACAGAAGAAAGGAACTAGGACACTGGTTGCTAAGGGTCGTGTGCTTGCTAAGTGCTCCCTAAAAGCAGCATATGATGCCTTGCACAGAAGTGCAAGAACAGTTGCCCATCTGTATAGAGTGTACTCCTTTGAGGGCCTAGGCTTCTTTAATGACAAAACAGATGAAGCCCTAGAGAACATTAAGGCCTCTGCCTGCTCTTGGTGGCTAACTATCCTCTTCCTCAACTCGGAGGAGGTCTGCTCTTCCTACTTTCGAAGTCAGGTTCCCTCACAACACAAAAGCATGCAATCCCAAAGGTGATATGAGCCACCTCCTAAACTTGCTACTGGCCTCAGCACTATGGAATCAGGTTTCCTTGCCACGTGGCCCTCAGCATTGGCCTCTAACCAAAAGTTTGGCGAGGTGTGGTTGAGAGCTTTGCACCAATTTACGTCATGTCTCCCTATCCTTTGGATCCAGTCTTTTTTTTCTATAGTATCTGATATAGGATTACTTCCAATTGCTGGGTACTGGACACTGTCAGTGACAAATACTCCATCCAGTTCTTCATTGTGCCATCTTGCCACCTCCCTCTTCAGGGACCCATATTCTGAGACAGTTCCATCAGAAGTAGTGGATTCTCTTCTCAAGAAGAGCTATAGAGGAGTTTCCACAAAAACGCTGAAGGGAAAAGATTTTATTTTTTCTCTTTCCTGATCCCTGAGAAGAATGATGGCCTGAGACCCATTGTGGACCTCAGAAACCTCAACAGGTACATATAACCATTCACATTCAGGATGTTCACGATGGGGGGCATTTATGGCTTCCTTAAAGAACACCTGCTTTCATGCAGCATCCAAATGCTTGCATCAAGTTCTGAGGTTCTGTGTGGGGACAAGACGCTAGAGTCCTTCCTTTATCACAGCCCTGTGAGTGTTCACCAAGTGTCTCATAGTGGTTGCTGCACTCCTCAGACACCAAGCAATATTTGTTTACCCATGTCTGGTTGACTGGCTAACAGTTAGCTCTCAACAGGATCTGTCCTCAGCGATTCAGTGTATATATACAGCCTCTTCCAGTCTTTGGGATTGTTGATTAACTGGAAGAAATCCACTTTTCAACCGGCACAAAGGATTACCTTTTATCAGAGTGGTCCTGAATGCCAGTGGGTCAGAAACTTTCAGGATGGTACCTATTGCTTCCCACCTCAGCATAGTTGCCCCAGTGCCTTCAATCTTGACTAGGGTGTGTATTGCCAAGGCCATAAAACACGGCATAGGGAACACCTGGGATTCCAGACAGGCTATCAAATGCTCCATCCAGTACATAAACAGGACAGTGTAGTGCCCCTAAATACCAGCAGAAATCATTCAGTCTCTCATTAAATATAGCTGCTATATGGGAGGATTGAAGGGTGGCGAACATATGTGTATTTTAAAAAGGCTCAGTGTTCTGTGAAAGTATAGGTCTATAAGCTGTACATCTGTATCTGGTAACCTGGCTGAAACAATAACTAAAAATAATCTTCTAGATGTTTTATTACAGGGTCTACTCACTACAATTCTTGCAAAGGAAAATAGATTAGTACAACACTATTAAAATTCTTTGGCCTTGTCAATGAAGTAGTTGACAAAGCAGAACCAGCTGAAATAATTCATTTAGACTTCCAAAAGGTCTCTGACAAAGTCTCTTACCAGAGGCTACTAAAGATGCTAAGTATCATAGGATGAGAGGCAAAGTATTGTCATTTGATCAAAAATTGGCTAGGAGACAGAAGGCAGAGTAGAATGGTCAACTTTCATCATGGCAAAAGGTGGTGTGGTGACTCTAGGTTCTGTACTGAGTCTAGTGTTTAACAATGAAAAGGGCAGTGAGGTAGCAAAATCTGCAGGTAACACTTATTTAGGTTAGTCAGAACCAGAGAGGACTGTGAGGAACTACATAGACTTGACCAAGCTAGGTAAATGGGCAACAGGAGGGCAAATGTTAATTTAACTATCCTACACAAGAAAAGGGCCTGGACATCATTGTAGACAACTCAATGTAGACCTCTACTCAGGGTGCAGCTGCAGTCAAAGGAGAACAAGATGCATAAGAAATGGCATATAATGCCATTACATGAATCAGTGATATGTTTCATCTGGAATTGCAGTTGCCCTGGTCCTGGGACTAGCCCCTCCTGCAGTTTCAATCAAGAGGGATAACGTTAAGGGCTGCAGCTGTGATGCAGTAGCATAGAATGTTGTCCTGGGAGAGAGACTGGCAATGAGAGAGCTGGGGGAGGGGGAAGGAGTTGGAAGGCAGTTAAAGGAGGAGAAGACAAAAAGAGGCGGTGCTGGGGTAAAAAGGGGATTTGCCAGAGGAAGCTAGCTGGCTGAAACGTGGTGTGCAAGGAGCCTGGATGTGAGGGGCATACCTCCATGTGAATGATGAGGTTGACCACTGGGACTTTGACAGGGAATACAGTTTGGGTGCCTTGGCTGTCCAGGTAGAGGAGCTATTGTTCAAAAGTGGACCTGAGGAAAGAGATGTGGTCATTGGAGTGTCAAAGCAAAGGTCCATCGCAAGCCAGAGACAGTTGAAGGTGCTGGGATAACTGGGGTGAAGCTCAGGGAAGAGGAGGAGCTGATTCTTTCTTGGGGTGACACAGCATGGTATTAACAAATTTCTTTTGTTGTGATGGTACTTTACTATTTATTTTCCTAAGCAAGTATTTGTTACTTTATATTAGTGTTCTGTTATTTATTTATTTATCTTCTTGTCCCTACCAAATTTCTGGGTTTTTCCTTTTTAAAGTTTACATTTTAAGATTATCTCCCTTGTATTGGCTTGCCTCTGCCTTTCTGCACAGTAGGAATAGCCTAACTGAGGACTGGGTCACTGCAAAATACTGCATGCAGCGTTTGTCACCTCATCTCTAAAACAATATTGCAAAAATACAGGGGGCTCAGAGAAGAGCAATGAAAATGGATGAGCATGGTAAAGACTGTCATATGAAGAAAAATTAAAAGATTGGGATGATTTACCTTAGAAAGAAGATGACTAAAAGAAGACCTGATAAAAGTATATAAAGTGCGTGTGTGTGTTAGAGCTTCTGTTTTTCCCTGTCTCATAACAGAAAAACAAGAGGATGTTGAAATTGAAAGGTGCAAATTCAAAACTAACAAAAGGAAATATATAATTGGACTGTGGAACTTGCTTTCAGGGGACGTTCTTGAGGCCAAAAAGTTAGAAAGATTCAAAGAGGGATAGCACTACAGACGCTCCCCAGGTTACGCAAACCCAACTTACAGAAATCCGCACTTACGGAAAAAGTTTCGTAAGCTTTTTTTTTAATTGTCAGAGATACGTTCCTGACTTACGCAAGGCGTTCCGGAATGGAATGCTTGCGTAAGTCGGGGAGCTTCTGTATAGAGATAAGACTATTCAGAGTTATAATAATTAATGCTCAAAGGAAGGTCTTGAAAGGGATATACAGTTTCATGATTAAAGCCAGTCTCTGACTATTAGGATGAGGCCTTCATGGAGGCCCTCCCACTCCAGCTGCAGGATTTTTAACCTTTTTTCTTAAATATCTCATGCTGGCTACTGCTGGAGACTGGATACTGGACTAGATGGACCTTGAGTCTGATCCATTAAGGTAACTGGTATGTTCCTGCAAAAGTGGAGGAATTAGACTTGTGCCTTTTTTTTTTTTTTCTGCTTTATAATCTATAATGGGAAGAAACCTGGAGGAATATTTTAAAATGTTTTTGTCTTTCCCGACCCCTGCACAATGTCTTTTTTTTTTTTTTTTTTTTTTTTTTTTTTTTTTTTTTTTTTTTTTTTAAATATTAGAAATTCAGGTCTCTTCTACTCCCTCCTGGAAGACTTTATAGATGGCTAAAGAACTGGTAGGATTATGGCATCCAGGCTTCAGTCTCCTGTGGAACTGCGAGGGAAAGGATTTTATTTTAATGAGATTGTCTAAAAACGCTAATACACGTGTTTCTTAACTATGCTAAATCATTTCTATGTACTCTTCACCTTTTCTGAAGTCAGTGGCGTTTACAATGGCATAAACATGGTGTAACAGAGTGGAGAATCAAGGTGTGAACTGCTTGTCAGGACTAAAGAAAAACCTGAGAAGAAGAAGATCTTAATGAAAAAACACAAACACCCAATTCCTGTCAATTGCAGGCACTGGTCCTTGTAGTAGTGCTCTAGCAAAAAACAGGGAAGACATGACTTGATTGTCTTGATGTTTCAAAGCCTAAAAAAGAGATAAAATCCACTTTGGAGAAACGCACACTTTCTTTGTACCTCCATAAAGAAGGAAAAAGGAGACTTTTTTCTTTTTGCATGTCACTTCTAGATTATGGAGACGAGGTAGTAAGTGTAACAAGTTTTCTGCCATTGACTTCATTGGTAATAGGAACAAACTATAGCAAAATCCTGGATTCCATGTCTAAACTAGAAATTCTGCGGAAGCTGCATTTAAATGAAAAGGGGGAGGATTTTACTAAATTAAATAATTCAGATGAAAAGACCAATCAAGTATAGTATTCCCTCAGTTATTTATTTTGGTATTCAATTCACAGGTTTTACATTGCCCCTAAATTTTCTCTCTTCTAGATGCTGCAAGACTTAAATTAAATTGCATTTTGGAAGCTGTCATGGGAAAGATGGAGGTTTTGGCAGATACGTAGGCTGTCGCAGGACTTTTCTGCAGTGTCAAAGGCATGGGAAATGGTTTGGGATTGTGGGCCATGTATATTGGCTGGAAGCTACGCTAAAATGATCAGTTGAAAAATTGGTAGCACTAGTGATATTGTCATAATGGGATTTCAGTGGTAGCTGCAGGAACGTGCTAGCCGCCACTTCCCGCAGCTCCCATTGGCCGGGAACGGTGAACCACAGCCACTGGTAGCTGTGGGGGGGGCGTGTCTGCAGACGGTCAACGTTAGCAAAATGTCTCGCGGCCCACAATCAGATTACCCTGATGGGCCAGCCGTGGATTGCTGACCACTGGCATAGAGCATCTTCACCAGAAGCACTACAGCAGTGCAACTGCATTGGTACAGCTGTGCTGATGCAAGTGTAGACCTGCCCTAAGCCTGGTAAAGGGGATTTCCTGTAGTTCAGATGGTACAGGCTTACATTGTTCAAGGTGAAGGACTAGGGTTCTAGTCTTGGCTCATCAGAGATGTGGGGGAGTGTGACTTTTCCAGTAATCATCTGTCTGTAGCACACGCATCCATTACAGGGGGCAGGGGAGGGGCTTGCTGATCTGGATTGGGCTTTGCAGCGCAAGGGAGTCTTGAGGAGGAATCTGGTGGGTATGCATGCTAGGATAAGGTAGTACAATGCAGGCCTGTGGCTAGCATGGAAGAAGGCACAAAGACCAGAGTAGGCAAATACACAAAGGGAATGATGAAATGGTATTTGCTTCCAATCATGGCTCTTGGTACCTCCTTCTCCCTAGAACCAGTTCCTGCTCCTTGATGTTCACATTATGCCCCTCCCCACTCTTCAGTTGTTCCTTAGTTAGGCTGCATGTTATCTTTCCACCTTCCCTCTTAAATCAGAACTTCCAACCCCTTCATCATTCTTGTTTTTTGTTGTCCCCCCCACCATTCCCTTCATTGTGATTGCATCTTTCTGGCACTGCAGTGCCTGGAACTGGATGTTGCTGTCCTGGGGCATTCGCACTGGAGTCACAGAAAGGGACTGTCTCCTCCCAGATAAGGTGCTCAGGTGTGCAGTCTAGAATTGCATTGGTTTTGTGTAGGGGAGGCACTGGTTTGACATCTGCCCCCTCCTTCCTCCTCCTGGTTCTCACTCTGTGTTTCTTTGCTTCGCCAGTACCCGGGTGAGGAGGAGGAGGAGGAGGGGAGCGGGAGCAGTGAAGGATTGGATCCTCTCATCACCGAAGGGCATATCCCAGGGTCACGGAACCAGCTGCGCCGCCCACAATACCGGCAGCGCTTCTTCCCACCTTACCGCGCGGGACAGACCTTTGACCGCCGCTCACGGGTCTATTCCCATGCTGATGGCACGCAGGTAAAACAGCATCTGGAAACTATGATTACTCCCCTGCCCTGCTCTGCTCCCTTCTCCCTTGCTGCCCCATCTGCCTCTACGTCTGTGAATTTGCTTCTCAGTGGACTGATTCAGACACAGTTGTGACTGAACTTCCAGGTTGGTCTGCTGGTGCACTTCCATCCTCATTAAACAACAATATAATTGTCCGTCAAAAAAGTATAACTAAGTTACATTACTCTGACATTCAAATGGTAATTGCAGGGCTTGGGAGGACTGAGGCAGCAGGATTCTGCTTTCTCTGATGAAGGGGTGATTGAGAAACCCAGCAATCTCCCACCTATTGCAGTGACCTGTGGAGTTCACTGGAGCCATGGGACACCTGTTGCCTCCTCTGTGCATTTGTAGCCTTCATATTTCAGTAGTTCTCCAACTTTTCATTCTTTGTGGACAAGCCAGTAACTCTCCATCCTTCCCGCCATCCCCTCTGCTAATTCTGAAAGATGTCGCCTCTTATGGATCATCTGCTGTTCAACGGATCTCGCTTGGAGGAAACTATTGATCTAGAGCTGTCTGTCTTAACTCAGTTTGTGCCCAGACATCATCCACCCCATGAAAGATGGGGGGAGGGGGTGGAGAATATGGGGTCCTAACATCCATATAGGCTGTTCCATGTTCATTTTAAAGAAAAAGGAAGGGGAGAGTTCTGAAACTATGGGATTTTAGTGTCCCCTGTTTTGTAGTATGTTGAGAGCCTTCTTATTCCAAAGGGATAAGAGTAATAGTTCTATCTCAAACCACTCTAAATGCCCAAGTCCTCTTTCCCTCCTGGGTGTTCACACCTTTGATTGAAGATGATTACCCCTATCTGTACTATCCATTTAGCCAGCATTTGATGGGGATTCCTCTGGTTACTTTTCTGTCTGTCAGTTTTTCCACCAACAAATGGCATTACCTGATGTGCCATTTTCTTTTGCATGCTCTCTGTTTTTTCATTGTCTTGATTCCATTCCCTGCTCTTCTCCACCCCTCCTCCACCTCAGCAGCTGCCCCTGTCAGGCTGCTAAAAATAGTTGGCATAGCTTATATGCAGGCACAGCATGTGAAACTGCAAGTGTCTTTAGTTCAGGTCTGTGCCTCTAGGAAACTTTGGAGGCAGAAAAGACCCAGGAAGGGCCTGATATCTTAATATTCTTTTTGGGGAAGGGGGGATGTTCCTCCTATCCCTATCCCATGAGTTTTAGCATTAGTGAAAAGACTCAGATTGTCAACACCTGGAGACCAAAGTCCATTTTTTCCCACAGATCTGGTACACTGAGGAGCAGCACTACAAGCTTCCCAAACATAACTACCCTTTCTATTGTATCTTACCTCTGTCTTGAAGAAAGTTCATTCTCCATGGCTCCTCTACTAAGATCACAAGTTAAAAATTCAGTTAATGCTAAATGTGGTGATGGTGGTATAATAGCTGACTAACTAGGAACTGGTTGAGACTCACTAAAATCATTCCATATCTGACATCTCTTTTGCAGCCTTTGATGATAGCTTTTGCCCAAAACTGACCATCAGAATCAGTACCCTAAAGCCAAAAGATTCTGTATTTCGTTTCCTGGTGCATGTGTGCAATCCTGTCCCACAGGAATAATGATATAAGCAAATCTCGGTAACAAGACATACAGGCTTAAATTATAAACCTTAGTATCATAAAATAAAATAGTGGGATAGATATGTTACCAAGGGGCTGGCAAGATGTACTGTAAAGAAAGATTAAAATAACTAAATATTTATAGCTTTGATAGATAATGATTATGTGAGACTATGATAACTCGTCTTCAAGTATTTGAAGGGTGACAATACCAAGTAGGGAAAGGAACGATCCTGGTTTGTCAGCATCGTGGACAAGATGACCTAATAGGATTTTTTTTATCTCTAATTTCCTTGGCACTTGTTTGAATTAATTTGTTTGATGAAAACTGGGTTAGGCTGGCTTAGAGATGCTGTGTTTATGTGGCCTGGATTGAATAAACTTGAATTGGATTGATTTGGTATGGATTACAGTAACTCCCCACTTAACGTCCTCTCGCTTAATGTTGTTTCGATGTTACGTCCCTGCTCCGTTACAGAACATGCTCGTTTAAAGTTGTGCAATGCTCCGCTATAACGTCGTTTGGCTGCCTGCTTTGTGCACAGCTGGCAGTCCCCCCCTAAGCCCCCCCCCCCCCCCCGGCACCTCCCGCCTGCCTGCTCCCCCCACCTCCTGCCCAAGGCAATCAGCTGTCTTGCGGCGTTCAGGAGGCTGGGGGGAAGAGTGAGGATGCAGCGTGCAGCCACCCCCTCCTTCCTCTGCCTCCTGCCCGCAGCAGTCAGCTGGTTTGCAGTGTTCAGGAGGGAGGGGGGAGGCTGCGTGCCACGTCCTCGCTCTCTTCCCCCTCCCCCCCAGCCTCCTGAACGCCACAAACCAGCTCATTGCCGCACGCAGGAGGCGGGGGGAGCAGGGGGAAGGCGCTGATCTGTGTTGGAGTAGATCGAAATGTGGACTGCATGAGTTGGATTTATATAGATTGCCCTAGACTGACTTGGAAGAATTATTTTATGTTGAAAGCCCAGTCCTGCAAACCCTCCATAGTATGTATTGGCTTTACTTCGTTGAGTGGCAAGAGATACAGTTTGGATTGGGTTTGGAATAGTTTAGACTGGGTAGGATTGGATAATATTGGCGTATCTTGCAACAGTCTTTGTCACAATGGACATTCCCTTCAGGTGACTTAACAGAGCTAGAGAGTGGCTTTCAACCAAGAGAGGTTCAACACAAAGAGATACCTAGGGTCCCAAAAGTGTTTAGAAGTAGCATCTTTCCATCAATAACTTTCTTCCCATAGTGCATCTCTTCTTGCGATGAATAATACAAGAGCACATGGTGCACTGGATTGGGGCACCCCCAAGCATGTGTCCGAAGGATTTTTGGTAAGGTTTCTGCCTCTCTCTGGAGCAGTGACTAGGCATCCTCAGGTGGCTTTTCTACCATCTGTTTCTTTTGAGGAAGGAGAGGGGCATTGCTGGCTTGTGTACTTCGAGTTTTCTTCATGGTCAGAAGGCTCTTACTCTGACAAAGTTGTTGTTCCTTCTTTGATACATAGGAATTGCCATACAGACCATTGGTCCATCTGCCCTGATATCTTGCTCCTGACAGTTCGGCTCGTTGGTCCATATAGTCAAGTATACTGCCTCAAATATTAGATGTTCCTTCAATTCCAAAAAAGGAAAAACCCCTGTAATGCACTTGGCTAATTGGTATAATGCTTTGAAAGCTTCTTGTCCCCTGCAACTGATTATTTTGTACCTTGAAGTATGAGTTTTCCATTCCTTTAATGGACAAAGTTGTTATACAGTCTTTTAAAAAAAAAAAAAAAAAAAAAATCTAGCCATATTTGTTGACTGATGCCCTGCAGCAGTGAGTTCCACAGATCAGCCATTTGCAGCATGAACGAACATTGCCTTTGATTTGTTCTAAATTTACTGGTTGTTTTAATTTTACCATGTTCCCTTTTGTTCTCATATCATGTCCTGTGATCAGAAGAGGAAGAACTAGCTGGCTTTCACTCCAACCATCTGTAGTTTAGAAATCCTCCATCAGCTGCCCACATATCCATAATCCTTTTGTTTGGTTTTAGGGTGGTGATGGAGAAATCAAGGATGGGGTCCCAGAAGGAGCACAGCTTCATCAGCAAATCCATCGGAATCCCTCCTATCGCGCACGCTATCGCAGGTATGTACCATACACCCTCTCCTATCCAAACTATCACTGGATTAAAGCAGTCACAATGCCTATATAGTACCTAATAACATTTTGGTACAGAGTCCCCAGAACTCAAAATACTTTACAAAGATTTGTATGTAAAAAGCATTCTCACCATTTTACAGAGGGGAAGCTGAAGGAGGGGTGATGGGACTTGCGTGCGTGTGTGTGTGTGGAACTAGGGTATGTGATTCTCTGTCCTCTTTCCTAGTCTCTGGTGTCTCAACAATTGGCAACATTCTAAAATTTGTCACACGTTACCTGTTCTCCTGTATGTCTACACTGCACCAAAAAAACCGCAACCAACAACCCAACACAGCAGCAAATCTCAGGCTCGAGCCCGGGTTCTGAGACCCTCCACCTGTGCTCCACCAGAGCTGGAACAACTACATTTGCTTTTTTTAGCCCTGTAGTGTGAGCTCCACGAGCCTGAGTCAGTTGATTTGGGCTCTAAAATTTGCTGCTGTGGGTTTTTTTGCAGTGTAGACAGACTATTTGAGTCTTACCCTTCAAGATCTATAAGAACAGTTAGAGTCCTGATTTTAATCAGGGCATTGCAATTACTCTGTAGTATCCTGCTGTTCGGACACTTTCTGCAGGGACTTGGGAGTTGGCTAGGTGTGAGGGAGAACCTCAAGATTAAGGACTTGTCTGCATGGGGAAATAACTATTCCACAACAGTTTCCTTGTGTGTACACTTATTCCTCACTGAGGCCGTGGCTACACTCGAAACTTCAAAATGGCAGCGCTGGGGCACTGTTTACACTGGCGCTTTACAGCGCTGTTACTTGCTGCGCTCAGGGGGGTGTTTTTTCACACCCCTGAGCGAGACAGTTGCAGCGATGTAAAGCGGCAGTGTAGCCAAGCACTGAGTGCCTTCATGTGGTTTAGCTTAATCCACTTCCAAGTCTTAAATTAAATCCATTTGGGAAAGTGGATTAAGCTAAACTGCACAAAGGCACTCTTACTGTGGAATAAGAGTCTGGAATAGCTATTGTGCTTTAAATTCAAACTTCAGCTTATTCCACAGTGTCTTCCCTGTATAGACCAGCCCTAAGTTTGTTGAATGCTCAGGATAACTGACTGGGGGCAGGGGTAAAGGAGAGTTATTCTTGCCATTCCAGAAAATGTGGTGCTTTTAAAAGAGGGGGGGAAACTCATCAGACTGCTTTTGGGAGGGGTTAGGGAACTTCTCACTCCCCTCTCAGAGAACAAAATGACTGGTTAGATGACTGGGATAAAAATAACACAGTGACAGGTCAGGTGGATTTCACATGAGCACTGGTGCCTTCCAACAGCAAGTTCATGGACTCTTTTTGGGTTACATGTTTTCCATATTCCACAGGCAATATAGGATTGTTCCCTTCACTCAGCAGGAAATTCTCCAGTCCTAGTGTTAAATGATTCTCAGTGGAGCTTCCACCACATCGGTTGAGGAGATCTCTGAGTCCTCTTTGGTTTCATGAGTAGGACTGGTGCAACAAACAGGTTTAGGTAAAATCAGGACTTGCCTAATTTTCATCCAAGGCTTGAACCTGGAAACCACCAAACTTTTTAAGACTTGGTCCCACTTCTAATGAACTAAGCCCCTCCAATTTGAAAGGACCATTCAGATGCTTGTCCTGGATGTGTCTCATTCATCCCACAAAGAGGGCATGAATGGTGAGTGTGAGATAAGAGGCCCTGAACTGCATTCATCTGGAGTAAGGTCAGATCTTTTGCTCAGCTGTAATGACTCCACATTCTTCACACAGACTCAGCATAAATCACACTTACTCTGTTAGAACTGGGACTAGAATCATTGTCCTTTAGTGCCAAAACACAAGCCTTGAACACCTTGACTAATAATAAGTCCCATATCCTCTCTGTGCGCTCCTCCTATGGGGATGACATCACTCACTACTACATTTGAAGCCAGAGTAATTACATACTGTTTTCTGTGTGAGATCAGTGGGCAGGATTTTGCGCTGCTGTAAATCCAGAGTGATTGAGGCTTTGCTGTTAAACCTCTATTTTTGGAAAGCTGTATTGGCCCCTAGTTCCTATGGTGATGGTCAGGATGGCTTAAGCCACATAACTAATGGAAACTGGGTGGTGGGCAGTACATTTTTTGGTCACCATTTTCAATTGTATTGGCTTGACACTCTCCAAAAGTGTTCTTGTAGGGCAGGAAAGGAAGCCTACAAGGGTTTGGGGTGGGTATCTTGTCGTTTGTTGCTGCAGGGAGATGGATTGGATGAATTCATGGGTCTGCACCATCTCTGATTCACAGCTGAATCCAGTTAAAGTTTAGTCTGATAGAGTTCAAAGGGAACTCACTTGAGATGTCTCTTATCACCTCGGGAGGTTCTACTGGTAGCAATTACTGGGTTTTTTTAAATACCTATTTTCTCTGTATCTCCCCCTGTTCAGGGGACCCCCACGTCCACGGCCTGCACCAGTGGTCGGAGAGGCTGAAAACAAGGAGAACCAGCACGAGGCTAATGCTATGAGCCAGCAGCCATCCCGTCGTGGATACCGGCGCCCATACAATTATCGGCGCCGACCCCGCCCGCCCAATGCTCCATCCCAAGATGGCAGTGAGGTGAGAGCATCCCTGGCAATGGGGAGAGGTATATTGAGTTCTGGGACTGGTGCTACCAACATGTACACCTAAGACAGCTCTGTAGCTATTAGCTTCCCTCACCTGCTGCCCATGTGCCTAATCCTGTGTTGAAAGACGTGGGCAGGGGATGTCATAGTTCGGTGTTGAGGCTGCCAAAACTGGTGCTAAATGTGAGGGTGGTTGTATTTGATATAATCACCTGTCCTACTAGAAACTTGCTCAAGAACCAACAACTCATTTCACACAGGATGGTAAACAGCCATGAGATGGGAATAACTGTTGGCCATTCCTGAACTGGAACCAGTGTCCTTGAGGTGATGGAACTTCATTGCCTTTCCCCACTCCCTCTGAGCCATCCATCTCTCTTCAAACAGGGTCTAGTTGCAGTGTCCAGCAAGAGGCTTAGCGATGAAAGGCTCTGAGTCTCATTCCCCAAACCACATGAGACAGCTGATCTCCCTCCGTGCTGGAGCTGAATTGGAAGTAGTGTGCTAAAGGCAAAACTCTACTATGGTCAATGTTTGAGGATTCATTTTTCTTGGGATTTCCAAGCCTCAATTACTGATACTCAGGGGTGAAAGTGAGCTGGTACGGGCCGGTACTCTGTACCAGTAAGAACCCGCACCGGCCCGCACCGGCCCACACCCGGCCCAGCGCTTTCAGGAAGGTCCTTTGCCACGGCAGCGCTGTAACGTTGCTAGGCCCCCGCCACGGCAAAGGACCCTGCAGCGCTTTAACCCCTGCCCCTTCCCCCCCCTCCCGCCCCCAGCTGAAGGGAGCAATTGCCCTGGGGCCAGCGATTTAAAAGGGCCCGGGGCTCCGGACACTGCTGCCGCTACTGCAGCAGCGGCGTCCGGAGCCCCAGAACCTTTAAATCAACACGGAGCCCCGAGCAGCGTGGGACAGGTGGCCTGGAAGTGGTGGCTGGGGGATGCTGACCCCCCAGCCCCACCCCTTCTGCCCGAGGCCCCTCCGCTTCCGGGGGCCAGAGCCGCCCCGCCCCATACGGTAAGTGTCCTCAATTACTTTCACCCCTGCTGATACTAATATTGAATAGAGGAAGGGGCTGGAAATCATCACTTTGCCATGCAACTTTGTTCTTTCAGACCAAGGTGGCCGAAACACCTGCCGAGAACCCTGCTCCAGTGACCGAGCAGAGCAGTGCTGAATAATGTCCGGCTCCCGAGGCACCTTTACCATCCCTCAGGTAAGGAATATAGGAAAATCCAGAGTTTGAGTGAAATTTTCTCCTTCACTCCATGGCGTGGTAACCAACCAGTCGATCGCAATTGGCTGGTTGATCCTAGAGGATCTCCTGGTCGATCGTGCTCTCCGGCGGGGCTGCTGCTAAGACAGGCTCCCTGCCCGCCCCAGCCCCACGCCGCTCCCGGAAGCAGCCAGCGTGGCCCTGAGGGCGGGGTGGCAGTGGTCTTCCTCTGCACGCTGCTCCTGCCTGCAAGCACCGCCCCCGCAGGCCCCATTGGCCGGGAACGGGGAGCTGTTGCCAATGGGAGCTGCAGGGGCGGTGCTTGCAGAGAGGAGCAGCACATGGAGCCACGTGCTGCCCGCCCCTTCCCCAGGGGCCGCAGGGGCACGCTGGCCCCTTTCAGGAGCGGCGTGGGGCCGGGGCAGGCAGGGAGCCTGCCTTAGCGGCAGCCACGCTCCACCACCAACCGGGAGCTGCCGGAGGTAAGTGCTGCCTGGCGGGAGGCAGCACCCCAACCCTGAGCCCCCTCCTGGAGCCAGCATCCCAGACCCCCTCCTGCACCAACCCCCTGCTTCAGCCCTGACCCCCCTCCCAGAGCTAGCACCCTGAACCTTCTCTTGCACCCCAACACTCTGCCCCAGCCCAGAGCCCCCTCCTGCATCCAAACTCCTTCCCAGAGCCCACACCCCCTCCTGCACCCCAACCCTCTGCCCCAGGCTCAGCCCAGAGCCTCTTCCCACATTGCAAACCCTTCGGCCCCAACCCAGAGCCCGCACCCCCTCCCAAACCCTAACCCTCTACCCCAGCCTGGTGAAAGTGAGTGAGGGTAGGGGAGAGTGAATGACCAGGGGGGCAGGGAGGAGAGGATGGAGTGAATGGAGTGGGGCTAAGGGGCAGGGCCTCGGGGAAGGGATGAGGTAGATGGGTTGCTCTTAAATTCAAAAAGTGATCTTGGGTGTAAAAAGGTTGGAGACCACTGCTCTATGGCCTAATAATTGGCAAGCCACTACCATCTTAATTTCCCCTTTGCACAGTGACAGGGCTGTCTATCTCCAGGACAGGCTCACAAAAGTCACCTGACAATATCCTCTCAGACACTTCAGCTAGAGGGAGTTGGGTTTATTTGATGGCAGCCATGGAGCCTTGGGATGCTGGCCCCACAATTCTATTGCATAGCACAGAAATGATTCTGAAATCTTCCACAGTTCCCTTTGCTGTGTGTGCAGAGTCCCCTGCCCCAATCCCAGAAGCATTTCCAGGTGGAGATTTCCTTTTCTTGACACTTGAAGTCCAACCTACTCACCCTTATTTTCCATTTATTTTCCCTCCTAAAAATTATTTTCCTCTGTTTTGGGATCTGCCCCCATGCTCCTATCCAACCCACACTTCATCTAGGACTCAGGTGTGGGTGGAAGACCAGACATTAGGAATAGGGGTGAGGAGCATGGCTGCAAGAGAGATTTCATCCCAGAATAGAATCTATCAGGAGCAATCCTGAAGATTTTTCTCAGGGCTCAGCCTTGGGGCCAAATGAAAGCCTGGCATAACTCCATTGATATCAAAGGAATTGCATCAGAGATGGATTAGGTCCCCTGATATTTAAAGGCCTGTGTACCATAATTGGATAACATGAGGCCATGCTTTTCTTCCTGTCCATACAAGAAATATCAAACTGTTTTATGATTGTATTGAGATACACACTGTTCCAGTAAAGTCAGTTTTCCATCAGACAGTTTTTAGACGATATGCATATAACAGACTCAACAGTATCTTTGTAACTAGGTCATGAGACGTGTCAATGGTGTTTGTGTCTGTACTCTTTACACTGCCTCACTGTTTGTGTTGGTGGATTTTGGAAATATCTGGTACTGTCACATAGCACCTCAGCAGGGGGCAGAGTGCCTGGCGGACATGCACATAGAGCAGCACCAGCAGCTTGGAATGCAGGATGGCCACCTACTCAAAGATCTTGGAGGAAGGTGGAGCAACCAACTGGTTATACAAGCGTTGTTGGGAAGTGGGGGTCCTGTCTACATTGCAAAATAAGTGAGATTTAACTGGTTACAAGTAGACAATCATGTGCCAGACGAGGTCACTGAGAAGGGAAGCACACTGTGACTGGTCATAGTTACTAACAGTGTTGTACAAGGATAAAAGTTGTGCTTAGAGCCAACAATCTTACTTTTTATTTTTATTTATTTATGTTTATTGTTTTATACCACATTCCTTGCTGTTGTAGCTACAAACTTGGTTAAAAGTTGCAGACAGGGCCTAGGAGTTAATGGAGGGGGGAGTATTTGAAGAATTAAATAAAGAAATCACTTGTTTAATTTGACCTTTTCTACAGGTGTCCTAAAGTGTAATTACAAAAATAACACCAAAGAAAGATCCAAGCAATAAAATGAAAACAAGTGACAAAAACAATGAAGATTTGAAACATCGGAACTTAAGAGAAATAAAAAATATACCAGCAGCTGAGATCCAGGGAACGCCTGCAACAGATGCATAGAGAGAGAGAGAGTGAGAGTCAGAGCGACCTCCCCAGCTTCCATGGCCACTGCGGGGTTTTTTAAAATTACACCATTTCGCTATTATATATATATATATATATTTTCCCCTCCAGTTTTTCTTTTGGTACCAAACTAAGAAAAGAGAAAGTGGGGGGGGAAAACCCCAACCAAAGAAATGAAATTTTAAGTCAAAAGCTTTTTTACTGGACGCTGGTGCTAAAACCTCCCAGGTGTGATGAGGGATTTTTTGTTTGTTTTTGTGCCAGTCCTGCTTAATTTCAGGACACGGGGAGGAGAAATTTCTGCTTTCCTTTGTAACATCTATATGAAAATGTGCAGTGTGGGTGACGTTCCTCACAAATAAAAGTGATTTAACTTCCAAAAAAACAAAACAAATGAAAGGTAGAAGTGTCTCTTCCATGTTTACTTTTAAACAACCTGAACTACTAACTTTGATCTTTCAGCACTTAGATAACAAAATGATAGCTGCTGTTATGAATACACTGGATTTGTATACAGTGCCCAAAAGCATGCTGGACACTACAGAAAAATTCGGACATGCTTGTGTTGTGTCAACTTTGTGCCAACACAGCCAGTGTACAGTGGTCACAAAGCAGCTGTAATATCCCATCCCTGGGACTACCCTCCTGCTGTCACAACCAAACTGTGTATCCCCTTCTTTGAGTGATTGCACATTCCACCCCTGTGTGCATGTGTCCCACCTGCAGTTGCTAGAAATTTTTCCCCTCAGTGGTACCCATCAGGGCAGTTCGAGTGCCCTCTGCTGCATGCCACTGTATGCTGGTATAAAGGGTCCAGCCTTCCCAGAGCCTCCTCAGTTGCTTCTTACTGCCTGTGACAGTCATTGGAATTACTTGGCATGCCTTAGTAAATGCTTTGTGTATTTTGTTGAACATTTATAATAGTTTTCTGGTTTTATAGTAGATTAGTACTTAGAGCGTAGGTAGGATTAATTTCTTTTTCGGTCCCTGGTTTAGGATTTCCATTTCTCTGTGCAGAGGGATGCTTCAGTCACCAGACTTCAAACCCTGCATTGCTTGTGTTAGGTCAATGCCTGTGTGCAATCCACACTCAAGCTGCTTAAAGTGTTTAGGGGAAGTTCATATTCTGGATCATTACCTCAAGTCAAGGGGAAAAGCCTGTTCTCACAGTGGTCTCTCTCTGCACAGATGTATCCACATAGACCTATTTGCAACCAAAGCCAACAGGAAATGCCATCATTGTTGCTTCCTACAAGGTCACAGTCCCAGTTCTCTAAGGCTTTCCTTCTACCCTGATCGAACAAGCTCGGCTACACTTTTTCTCTGATCACACTCCTACACAAAGTGTTGGTAAAGATCAAATGGGACCATGCTCTCGGGTTATACTAATGGCCCCAGCAGCACTAATTCTCCACTCTACTGCATCTGTCAGTGGAGGTTCCAGTTTTGTTTCCATTGGACCCAGACTTAATCTCCCCAAATCACAGTCAGCTGCTCCACCTGAAGCTGCAGGTGCTTTATTTAACAGCTTGGAAGCTCCATGGGTAAATCCTGAGGAGGAGTCTTGCTCAGAAAAAAGTTTGCAGTGTCTTGTTAAATAGTAGAAAGCCCTTCACCAGGTCTACTTACATGTCAAAGTGGAAACGTTTTTCCCTCTGGTCTCGTTAATCTGGAGTTTCATCAATGCAGTCCTCAATCTTGCATATCCTGGACTATTACACCTACAACAGCAATGGTTGGCAATTATTGCTTTCAAGGTCCACTTGGCAGCAGTATCTGCTTTCCATCCTCATGGACAACAGTTTATGTATTTTTTCCTAACAATCTGACAGTCAGATTTTTGAAGGGCCTGGAAAAGTTGTACCTTTAGCTAAGGGAACCTGTCTCCGCTCCCCTCCCCTCCCCCTGGGACTTGATCTTAGTTTAGTCAAGGTTCATGGGCCCTCCATTTTGAACCTCTAGCCACATGTTCCTTGCTGTATCTATCACTAAAGTTGGCTTTCTTAGTATCCATCACTTTGGTCAGGAGGGTTGCTGAGCTGCATGTTCTGACATCCAAACTGCCTTATAAGGATAAAATATATTTCTGCTGTCATCTGAGATTCCATTCTAATGTGGTATCTAATTTTCATATCATATTTACCTACATTTTACCCAAAACCACACGTCAATAGAGAGGTGCAACACTAACACACCCTAATGTTAGAAAAGCTTTGGCATTCTATGTAGATGGGACTAAACAGGTCCATTTATCAATCCAACTATTTGTGGTCACTGCAAACCATGAGTGGGATGGACATGTGAAATACATCTTGAACAACAATGGTTACATAACGTTAGTAACCATTTTTTACCACAGGAGCTCCTGGTTCAAGGGCCATGCTGTGGGAGGGGGAAACCAGGATACCTATTCCATCAGGCTTTGGCTTCAGTCAGGCATTAAAGCATAAATTTACAAGTTCGCTGTCACTCGGGAGAGGGTCTTACAACTGCAACGGTCCCTGAAACAAGCCTCCATTCCACAGCAGCAAGATAGATCCTGTGGTGCTAACAGAACCTCTTTATTTGAAATCAGTATAAGATTCCTGACTGTAATGGCCTGGGAGAGGAAAGTTCTCATTCTTGTGTGGGTTGGTGGTTGAACTTTATTTAGCACCTCCACCCAGCATATGCTGATCCTGCTGCTAATGCTCCCAAAAGAGCTGTCTGATCACTGTCTGCCTGCAGCCAAGCTCAGCCACATTCCCACCCAGTGCCTGTCCTAATTGCCTGACTCCTCTCTTCCAAGTGCCATGACTCCACTCCTAGTGGCCAGTCTCCTCCAGAATGTTGAATACTTCTTGAACCACCCCGTCCCTCTAACTGTACCACTTTACACTTTCCTGCCTGTTTAACTGGCAAGTGCTCCACCTACTCCACCCCCCCCCCCACACACACATATTAAACCATACGTCTACCTGCTTCCACATGCACACTTTCCTTTTGCTAGCTGCAGATCTTACCATTTCCCTTCTATAGAATGCTGCAAATAGAGAAGAGTTTAAAGGGTTAAAGTCTTAGATGTGCAGATGGCATATGTATGTGATTAAGCAGCAGGGAGCATTGTGGGGGGTGGTTGTCCATGTCTCCTTTTCTGGTTTCCTTGCTGTTACTGGTACCCTGTATTCTGCAGGCAGCTTAATAATTAAAAATCATATCAAGTTCTGTGGGGACCCACTTCTTTGGTTTACCCACCTCCCAGCACACATTTGCGATACAGTAAGATGCAGGGTGTCAGATGGGAGAGCTGAGATCCAAGGCATCTTGCTTCCAGCTGCAGTGCAGGTAAGTTAGGGTATTTTATATTTTCTCTGTCCCACTTGCTCCTTCTGTCACTTCCTGTGTGTGAATGTGATGGAACCTAAATTGGAACTGAAAAGCCAGCCGCCCTCTGGTGATTGCAATGGAAATTCCCTGTTCACTTTTGGGATTAGTTATTAAGTCTCATCTTGAGACACCCTAAAAAGGAAAACTGCAAGCTCAGTGCAGGGAAGAGCTGGAGCTCTTGTTTCATCCTTCCCATATTTTTCCCGGTTCACCACAGTCCTGCCCTGTAGCACTTAATGCTGTTCAATTATATTAGAACACCCACTTCTTTGAGAGATGTCCCTATGGGTGCTCCACTTCAGGTGTTGGTGTGTCCCTGCGCCTTCGTTCAGAGATTTTTACAGCAGTACTTGTACCAGTCACGCACGCGCAGAGCCTGCCCTCCCGCTCTTGAGTGTACCTTAATAGTACACGTGTGCAACCGGTCTCCTCAGTTCCTTCTCTACTGTCCCGGCCTGAGATGGAGCTCAGCAGACTCATTAGAGACTTTCTCTCCCTTTGTTACAATTACCTTTCTAATTAGTTAGTTTGGTACCAGTAGTACTTAGTTACCACTTTTCTATCTTTTTTTCTCTTTTTTATAAAAAAAAAAAAAAAAAAAAATTCTTTTTCTTCATTCCTGTTAGCGGCAGCTGCTTCTGACATGCCTGGCTCCCCAGGCTTTAAGCGCTTCTCTACTTGCAATGATGCCATCCCTCTGTCAGATGGCCATTCAAAATGCATACAATGTTTGGGGGAGTCCCACATCCCCCAAAAATTTGCCCACTGCAGCAAGCTTAAATCTAGGGCACGGTAGGACAGGGAGCTGAAAATAAAACTGCTCCTCCTTCAAAAATCCTAGGGTCAGCTTCAGACCAGGGTGCCGACTCCGGCTCCGCTGCATGCCACAGGCCACCCCCCCCGCCACACACACACCTCAAAGAAGGACAAACAAACTTCAAAAAAACAACACCTTCTCTCACCCGCAAAGGGAACTTCGTGTGAGAAGACTTCCCTGGGCAGGTCTACAGCCTCCCTCCCAGCGCTTCTCCAGATGAGCACTTTTGATGCTCCGGGCTCTTCCGGCATCGCACAAAACCAGCTTGTGGCAGCGGCGGTACTGCAACGCTCTGATGCCAAGGCTTCAGGCTTCCAGTTGCCTGCCTCTCATATGGCACCATTCGGCACGGCAACATAAGCAGTGCCGACATGCCTGACCCCCCAGCAGGCTGCTATTGCTTTCCCGGCACCCGCTGAGCTGGCCGGCAGTGAAACAATGTTAGGACACCGGTGCAGAGGAACTTTTCTTCACAGCAAGTTTCTCTTGCACAGCCCTCACCTCACAGAGGAGCTCCAACACTGCAATTTATAGTCAAGGGACCTGCTGGTATCACCTATCCTGCAGTCACTCCTACTTAATGCCTACTTCTCTCCAAATGCTCAGTCAGGGTCCGGACAGCCTTCCTCCAGTGATGAGGAAGCTGGACTGCAGGGGGAATTTTTACCATATGAAATCTCCCACCCTCAGACCCCAATCAATAGAGG